CCTTTAGGTCACTATAAAATTCATGATTGGATGAACCTGGAGATACATTACCATTAGCTTCCCCTTTTTATGAGCACTCAACATTTACCCCATCTTATGAAAGGAACTGACTCTTCTTTGAACCTTTCATGTCTATCATTAAATGGACATGCATCACTTGAAAAAAAATGTCAAGCAAACACTTTTACACAAAACATTTTGGGGGAAGGAAATTAAGACAAGCCAAAATGCGGCATGAATGAACATCTGCCATACCAAAATATCTTTCTTTTTTTGGAGGAAGTAATTCATATGAAACTAATCTTTCTGTTGTGCACAAATCTACTAAACATTGAAATATTACACGTTGGGATGAGAAGATATCTGACCTCAAAAGTTGAGATTTAACAAACATCTAACTAAAAGAAAGTGATGTTCTCTGTTAATCTCTGCTGCTTCCGCACTACTTACTAGAATGCTTTCACATTAGCACAAAGAGAACAGAAGAGGGATAATCCAGAACCTGGGAACATGTCTTTCTTGTTAAATTATTAAAAAGTGGTTTAACACATAGTTCTATGCACATAACAATGCCATTGAGATGAAGTTGTTATGATGTCTATAGGGTTCCTTTAAAGGACCACTCTAGGCACCCAGACCACTTCAGCTTAATGAAGTGGTCTGGGTGCCAGGTCCTTCTAGGGTTAACCCATTTTTTTATAAACATAGCAGTTTCAGAGAAACTGCTATGTTTATGAATGGGTTAAGCCTTCCCCCTAATCTTCTAGTGGCTGTCTCATTGACAGTTACTAGGCTATGCGTTTCTCACCGTGATTTCACAGTGAGAGTTAATGCAAGTTCATAGGAAAGCATTGTAAATGCTTTCTATATGACGGGCTGAATGCGCGCGCAGTTTCTTGCCGCGCGTAAGCATTCAGCCCAGGAGGAGGAGGGAGAAGAGGAGGATCGGAGGAGGAGAGCTCTCCGCCCAGCGCTGGAAAAAGGTAAGTTTTTAACCCTTTCCCCCTTCCAGAGCCGGGCAGGAGGGGGACCCTGAGGGTGGGGGCACCCTCAGGGCACTATAGTGCCAGGAAAACAAGTATGTTTTCCTGGCACTATAGTGGTCCTTTAAGTATTTGGTCTGTTTCAATAATTTTTATATATTGTCTATTTCTGGAAAATTAAGCAATGTAATCAATACTCATTAATTTAATGAAAAAAAAAGTGAAAAAAAAATTAATGCAAACACTTTTACACAAAACATTTTGGGGGAAGGAAATTTAATTCAATCAATACAATCAATAATGCATCATTTACACAGAATCTTAAAGGAACTTTAGTGTTTTTTTTATTTATTCCCTCCATCATTCCTTATCTTGTTTGTTATCGTTTGAACCTTAAATTATCACTGTCCGAGCAGATTAAAATACCTTATTTTGTTCATAATTTCTCCTGTTTTCTGACACATCCGATGCATGACTGAGAGGTAGGTATTAGGCGCAGGTAGGAAGTGATGACACTGGCAGAAAAGTGACACTTGTCTGATCAAAGGGTGGGGACATGGAGGACAGTGGTGGAAGACATAGGTGAAAGACAGGGAATGGTGGCAAAGGGGATTGGTGAGGTGGAGGGAACGGCAGAGGTTGGTCTGAAGGGCGGGTGGGGAGTGGTAAAACCTTCAGGGTGGCGACACTTGGGGTCTGATCGGATTGTGATGACGTGGTGGACAGCGATGGGAGATATAGGTGGAAGGCAGAGAGGAAGACAGAGAATAGTGGCAAAGTGGATTGGTGAAGTGGAGAGATGGCTGAGGTAGGCATATTGAAGGACCAATGAGTGACTTGCTGACAAGGTTACAGAAGGGGGTTAAAATAGGAAGGCTGGGCAGTAGTGTGTTTGAACATAAAAAAAAAAAGCAATAGTATTATGGAGGAAACAAATACTGGTTATGATAGAACCAATATGTAAAACTTAACAGATTCCAGCAGCATACATAATGAATACTAAGTTCACAGAGTTCAGGGAATGCCTCTGAGCAGTTCTCCTCCGAGCAGTCTGTAAGCTCAGAACAGTACACATAGGCATCAGTTTCATTGGCTTAGAAAGATACGTACATTGCCAAAGAGGAAGATACTGAAACTGAACAGGGATTGTGGCTAAAGAGGCCAGGTTGCAAGGCTGACAACTGCAAAGCGTTTTGCAGCACAACTTGTAAACCAGACTCAATTAAGAAGAAAGAAGAAAACGGCAGGTATTTCAGCATATATACTTTTTTTTTTAAAACGCATATGTTATTTGGGGGACCCAGTGTATCCCTTTTAATTAACATTTTTAATTAACACGATAGATCTTAAAAATAAGTAAATGATTTATACAACAATAATCTAACATGATGAGTGTTTCATATAGAGGTATTCATCTCACTATACAGTGAAAAAACACAAACAATACAAAATGTGCTTTTAACTGTCAGTTCATATTCAAGTAAAGCTTTCATGTCTTTGGGACAAGATTCCACACATTTCTCAGATTGTTGCTTCTAATTTATTCTAACCTACACTAATGTCTAATCTAAATCCCTTTGGTCCTGAATGCCACAGATCAGCAGTTCACAGTTCAAAGGCTATCACCGACAGGGACATTTTACTTCTTTATAGTCATTTTGCTTCTGTTCTTGTAATACAAAAACAACATGATACCAAAAACACTACATTTAAACCATCACACAGCGTTTTATTGTACAAGTTGCAGGTGTCACAATAAAACACATTCAATTAATTATTTCCTCTTTCTATGAGAAAAATGTAAAATTGTGTTCCTTTATAAATACAAACTTCTCTTGACAAATCTAAAGTGCCAAATGTGGTTTCCATTTGCCTTTTTGGGATTTATTTGTAAATGCCAAAGTTCAGGTGTGCCAGCTCTTTGTAATAAGCTATTTGGATGAAAGCTTGGCTAGCTCAAAGGATTCTGATGTATTTTATTGCTGCCTTTTAAGATTATTGTTCAGAAATACCAAGTCTAATTTTGAAATCAATTAGCCATGCAGCCTGATGAGGTGTTTGCTCGGCTCAAGTTCACACCCGCTGTCCTCAGATTATTGTTAAGTTAACTCAGGTCCTGTAATGCCACGGCACATACAGGCATCTGGGTAGCACATGTTTTATAGCTTGTCAGACTGCAGCTGAATTCTCAATGCCAAAGACCAATTGGGAAGAAAAAAATAGAATAAAATAATAATTTAAAAAGTATTTTATTTTTGGTTTGCTGCTGATTTTATCAAACTGTTGTAAAATTTTTATCATGAAATAATTTTTAATATTTTCATATCTGCATTGAACTGGATCTCACGTGGATGAAATTAGGTCCAGCTCCAGGTAATAAAGACTATAGTGAGAAAAAAATCAAAGTGACTATTAGTTTATTATATTGCTTGTCAGGTTTTGTTTATGCCTTACCCTGTGAGGCAGGAGGTACTTCTGGCAAGTTACTAAGTAATAAACGTCACTTATCCTCTCTTCTGTAGTTCATGGGTGGCAGTAAGTACAACGGGAAACATAGCATCAAAAAGGATTTTGTCATATTTTACCATATTATACTTAAACAGACAGTGTGTTGTCTGAGAATGTTTTGTAGTTACTGCTTAAAACATCTGGAGAGCCAAAGAATGGTTGCCCCATGAACAGTTCAATAAAAGCAAACGTATCAATTCTTGTCCCTGCACCTATTCTTGATTTACACACAAGTGAGAAAATTTGAATTCTCACCTGTGTGGCCGGGGATGGTGTGATTATGCCTTGGGGACTCAAGTAAAATGTGGTTGGTGGTCTTAACTCCGTCACCTTAAGACCACACACAATATCTGCCAGCACGCCATACAACTGGCAACTCCTATTGTGAGGAAACTTGTTAAAATACTTGTTTGCTGCCTGGACAAATATGTTTTTAAACTTTGCTAGCCCTATTTGAGAATGTTTGTTTTTAAAGGGTTACACAACTACTTGATCTTTTTTTTGTTAAGCACAAACATACTTAACTGATGTAAAATTATTTTATTATTTAAGCATTATTGTTTTTTAAATAAATACTTTTATATGATCTTCAAAATAAAATACATTGATAAAAAAGGAAATTAATTATATGCCTGGTATTAAATAATATAATGGGTAAAAACTATTAATTGTATGCATTTGATAAAATAATACAGAAGGCAACTGCCTACAAGGAAAATATAGTATATATTCAATCTAATAAACAATGCATGCACTGCAATTTAAATAAAATAATAAGAACTATATATTATATATAGGTCCAAGTTCTTTCTAAATTATATACTATGGCAAATAATTATTTTTTCTGAAAAAAAAAAAAATTGCTCTTCCCTCGTAAATTACACACGATTAATGGTTTTGTGTTTACACCCTCAAATAGTAACAAACAGTAAAATGTAGCAAAAGAGAAATATCTGTGTTCAAATATCTAATTTCAGGCTAATTGTAGCTCTATGTTTTTAACCCCTTAATGTTCGAAGCAGTTGTACAAGTTGTGATCAAAACAAAGCTTAAACAAAACTTAGAATTTGCGCTATATGTCTGTTCAACCATAATTCACCTATTTCATATTAAATGCACCCACACTTATAATTTTGTTCAGGAGAAACAGAGCTTTAATTTCATATCAAATATTTATATATGAAACATAATTTAATATGAATAAAATATAAAAGAAAATTGATAAATTAAGATATGTTGTTTTTTTTTGAGTTATGCATGGCAATTTAACTGTGAATGTCATAATACTCTTAGCTGTTACTGCAATAAAGTACACATATTTGTATTCAGCGATGTCTCACGAGTAAAACAGTACCCCTCTTCTATAGGTTTTATGGTGTTTTAGAAAGTTACATTGTCAAATATAGCATGTTACATTTTTCAGTTTATACACATTGAAATTTGCCAGACTGGTTATGTTGCCTTTGAGACCAAATGGTAGCCCAGGAATGGGAATTACACCCATGATAGAATACCATTTGCAAAAGTAGACAACCCAAGGTATTATATAGGTATTATAAATGGGGTATGTCTAGTCTTTTGTTAGTAGCCACTTAGTCACAAATACTGGCCATATTTGTTTGTGTGTGAAAAATGTAAAAAAAAAAAAAATAATGCAAATTTTGGCCTATGTTTGTGACTAAGTGGCTACTAAAAAAGACTGGGCATGCACCATTTGCAATACCTTGGGTTGTCTACATTTGTAAATAGTATGCCGTCATGGGGGTTATTCTCATTCTTGGGCTACCATACGGCTTCAAAGGCCACATCTCAATGGGAAAAAACTGAAATGCAAGCCTTATATTTGACTCTGTAACTTTTGAAAATACCATAAAACCTGTACATGAGGGGTGCTGTTATACTCGGGAGACTTTGCTGAACATAAATATTTGTGTTTCAAAACAGTAAATCTTATTACAACAATGATATCATCAGTGAAAGTGCCGTTTGTGTGTGCAAAATGCAAAAAATTGCACTTTCACTGACGATATCATTGTTGCGATATGTTTTATTGTTTTGAAACACTACGAAGTCTCCTGAGTAAAACAGTACCCCCATGTACATGTTTTATGGTGTCTTGGAAAGTTATAGGGTTAAATATAGGGCCTGCGAACCAAATTCTGTGGACTTTCTGCCTGGGTTGTCAGGCAAGACCTCAAACCGCAATTAATAAAATTACTTAATTATATAGAAATATTATATAATTGTATATATAGAATTTAAATATGTATATGTATGTATATATATATATATGTATATATATATATATATATATATATATACATATATATATATGTATATATATATATATATATGCATTTTTTTATTTTTTATTTATATATAGATACATATAGAGAGATATATACATATATTTATATATAGAGATATATATATAGATATATATATCATTTTGTTCTAAGTGTATTTTGATATCAATATATATATATATACATATATATTAATGTCAAAATACAGTTAGAACAAAATTACACATGTATATATAATTTTTATTTATTTTGTATTTATTTATTTATTTATTTTATATTATATATATTTATAAAATTATAACTATATGTATATATATGTAAAATTAACATCATTCTAAGTGTATTTTAATATTAATATTAATATTAAAATACACTTGGAGACATAGTGAATGTGCATGTATGTGTGTGTGTATATATATATATATATATATATATATATATATATATATACTTAGATTACTTTTACACTATTTTAAAATGCTTTAAGCTTTATTACAGGTACTGGGGGGTCTGACTGTTATTCCAGGCAGGCCCCCTGCAGATACTGCTTTGGATAGCTTTTCCGTCCATGTGATTATTATTATTATTTTATTATTTCTATAGCGCCAACAAATTCCATAGCGCTGTACAATGATTGCGACCTCATCGGACCTAGGATGCCAGGCAAGTCCCCCCCATAGCGATCGCAGATTGAACTTTAATCACACACAGGAGACCCTTACAGGCTCTATAAGGCTATTAACAGGAAATAAGAAATTCTAGATTAAACAGACTGTACAATACAGGAAGCAAATATATCTAGATTCTTGTTCATGATGTGTTTAGGTAGCTTGTGCAAGTCACATACAGTAATGCATGACTAGGACTATGCAAACAAAGTAATTTAACTCCTAAGTGGCAGAAAATTGAACAGTGAGACTGCATGGACATGATATGGACCCCCAAACCACTTAATTAAGCTAAAGCTGTCCCTTTAATACTATATACGTAAAAATGTTTTTTCTTGAGTTAACATCACAATTTAAATTATATTGTTTACAAAATAGTACTCAAGATAAAATATGCTTAAAATGAAAAAAAATAGATTGCATAATTCATGAAGTTCCCAAGTTCCCATCCAAGGTTCTTGAATACTACCATATGTTATGCAATTGTAAATTTTGTATTATATCCAAATAAACAAATACCCTCAGATTTTGGAATGAAACATTGTGAGATAATAAACATTTTTTACAAATTTAAATCAGGTTAAAAGGAAAGAAAAAAATATGTATAAGGAAAAAAAAAACAATATTAAATGAAAATAACACTTTTGGAAAAAAACTATTTAACGCTTTGCAGCTTCTCCAGTGCATTAAAATAAAGATCATAATATTTTATTCCTATAGCACATATATTAACAAATACAAGATACTTAGTATTTGGTGATTTTGAATCAAAACATAAGCGAATCACAATTTAGAGAAGATTCTTCATAATTCATTGCAAAATATTTAGTCTGACTGACAAGCACTCGAGATACCGGATATAAATGTTGTTTTCTGTTGCCATCTTATATCTCAATTGTATGACAAATAATCAGGAGCATACCTAGTAAAACAAAATATTTTGTGAAATAAATATTTATTTCTCAAATGGAAGTTCCTCTTCAATTCATTTTGCTTTTACTTTGACTTTATGCTTTTTCCTCACAGTTTGTTTATATCTTTGTTGTGTGTTTTGAGATACTAAATATAAGTCTTACTCAGTTCTAGCTTCCCCCCAAATCTGAATATCTAAAAAATGCTGTGTTCTCTATCAGAGTACAGGTATGTTTTAATAAAGTTTGTTTTTTTTAATTTATTTTGCCTACTAAATAGCTTATTCTGTTATTCTGATACCTATCTTGTTAGGGAAATATCCCAAGCACCATAACGACTACAACAAACTGCAATGGTTATTGTGCCAGTAGTACTATTGTGATACCCACTGTAAGTAATCAAGCCATTTTAGGACAGTTTGACTTTTACCTTCGATCCATTGGAGCTTCTAGATCACCATCAGTAGTAGTGAAAATGGGAGCAGCATATGTCAGGCCCCAGGTAATAAGTCAAACTGTTCTAAATGGAGAGCACCAGGACACTCCTGGCACCATAACCACTACAGTGCACCTTGAGCACTTATCCCGTATATTGAATCAACCTGTACTCATTTTCTTTTTAACTTACTGCATCTAAGTGTGGAGACAGACATTATTTGATCAGTGTGAAGTTAAAGGAAGTAGGGACTTGTCTGGCATGTGGCTGCTGTATACATGTATAATGGGGGGTCGCCATAACCTAGGCAAGGAATGGATGTTGTTATAGTACTTTGAGCGTATGTAGGTATATTTTAAATAAAGCAGGAATAGCTAGATGTAAGACAGCGATTCCCAATCTTAAAGGAAAGCACACACAGTCAAGTTGTTGTTTGTTTAATTGAACATATTTAACTGCACATGTTAGAAAGTAACAGAAATAACCAGGAATAAGTATTTGGTACATCATAGATTTTCTCCATATTAAACTATAACAACCATGGGAGGATCGTCGTGGCAATGCATATTTGTTTTATAACAAGGGTTGAACAGTAACCGCAGGAATAAAAGGGGGTGGGGGGGGACTCCTGCGCGGGAGCACCATTAATGAGGGAATCATTCAGAAAGTAACATCCATTAGTCAGTTTCAACCCTTTATCATTTTGCCTCCAGGTTTAGTGGTACATCTATTGCCATTTTAAGCCGTGAGAGAGATGAGCACAGCTGTCGGGCGCATTTGTTTAGTTTGTTTAGGGATATTGATCATTGGCGAGCATTGTTCCAGTATATGTCCCATTTATCCCATGCATTTTTCCTGTATTTTGTGTGTTTGCCGGTATTTCTGGCCAATTCTTAATAATTTTTCGTGCATTCCTAAATCTCGGCACAAGAGTCTATAGTTGGGGCCGTGTGCTTCAGTCAATTCCTGTTAATTGCAGTCAGGGTTGTGAGGAGAATGTGGTAAATCAAATATTGAGTAGATCTTATGATGTTAGTTGGGAAAAGGTGGAGCAGGTAAGTTTCAGGGAGCAATGATGGGGCTACATCTATCCAATAGCTTGTCAATTTAGAATACGTCTACCATGTGTGTAACATGGCCCTATCTTTAAGGCATCTCCAGCATGTTGATAAATCTTCTGGATTGCTATGGGCTAGGTGTGCATGAACTATATACCAATGATACAGTAGTTTTCTGCTTAACTCTATATGGGATGCGCACAAAGTAAGACTATATTTCAATCCTTTTTCCCAAGCTGTGGTATAAACTCTAAGGTATAATTGAATTTCTTAGGAGGTTGAAGTTTTAAAGTAATTTTTTCCACGTCTGTCAGATGTTGCTCATTTACAATGGAAGGATTATTTACACAATATTTCTGTAACCAAGATTTAACTTGCAAGTATTATTATTATTATTATTATTATGATATTCATAGAGCGGCGTCAAATTCCGCAGCGTTTTACAATGGGTGGACGAACAGACATGTAGTTGTAACCAGACAAGTTGGACACACAGGAACAGAGGCGTTGAGGGCCGTGCTCAATGAGCTTACATGCTAGAGGGAGTGGGGTAAAATGACACAAAAAGGTAAGGATAGTATTAGACTAATGACAGTTGCAGAAGAGGAATCAGTCAGGAGCTATTAACAGTTTAATTGACACGCTTTTATGAAGAAGTGGGTTTTTAACAATTTTTTGAAGGAGTGGAGACTGGGTGAGCATCTAACGGATGAGGGAAGCGAGCTCCACAGGAACGGTGCAGCCCTCGAGAAATCTTGAAGGCGAGCATCAGAGGTTGGAGTACGGACAGAAGATAGACGTAAGTTTTCAGCAGATCGTAAGGGCCTAGACGGGACATACTTATGTATGAGGAAGGATAGATAGGTGGGAGCAGCATTATGTAGAGATTTGAAAGCAAGAACCAGAATTTTAAATTGAGCTCTATATTTTATAGGAAGCCAATGTAGGGACTGACAGAAGGATGAGTCATGGGAGGTGTGGGCGGACAGGAAGATGAGCCTAGCCGCCGCTTTCATTATGGACTGTAACGGCGCTAGTTGGGAGCACGTAAGACCACTTAGAAGCGGATTACAGTAGTCAAGGCGAGAAAGGACAGTGGAATGGACCAACACCTTAGTCGCATCTGGCGTTAAGTAGGGGCGGATGCGCTCAATGTTTTTGAGATGGAAATGAGAGGATTTGGCGATAGATTGAACATGAGGCTTGAAGGAGAGGGTATAAGTATGAGAATTTAGCTGTATTTGTAATATTGTATCTATTTTGTAAGGCATCAAAGTCTAAGATTTGAGGTCATGTCATGATTTGGTATATTGAAATAATGCCCATTCTGTGCCATGGGATATGGTAAAATCTGGGACAAGCGTTAGCAACGCT